AACTTCTCTCTCCCTCTCTCTCTCCCTCTCCCCCCCTCCCCCCCCCCCCCCCCCCCCCCCCAGGAAACAGTAGGAAAAGAGGGGGTTGGGAAGGGATGGATATGAGGCAATGCTATTTCTTCACCCATTTCTTTCCAGAAGCACTGTGTCAAACCTCGTCGCTAAAACGTCATTTGATCACAGAAATAACCTCTTCCAGAACTGCGTTTTTTGAAATTGCATATGAAAAAAATAAAAATCAGTAAACCAGCCATGGCAGAAAAAAAATTGTTTCAGCACATCAAGTACATATTAGTGCAGGAAGGTGGATCAGCTCCATCCACTGTATAAATAAGCTTTATGCGCAGCGTACATTAAATAACCATCACACCCCACTCACGCCCAGTACACAGATGCTCCTCAGTGAAGATAAACATTTATCAAGTAATTAAAGTGTATGTAGTGCAAATGTTACAACCAAGTATTATGCACATGCTACTTGCTTGGTTTAAAGTTACACGAAGATGTGGTGCCTGAAATCATGGACATATATACATCCTTGTCACACTTGGTACAATGTCCTAAGCCACAGAAATATCCATGTGTTTATATCTATATATGTACACGCACACGTTTTCTTAAAATGTGACCACCACATCAATACAGTAACACAAACAGACTAAAATCAATACCTGCTTCCAGATGCTCCAAGGCTCAGAAAGTTTGTGCTTCTAACTCTTGCAGTCATTACGTGTCCCCTCCTGTGTCCCCCTCCTGTCGGCACAGGCGGGGGCCACTCTCCAGCTCTGCGCTGCATAGGATGAGGGCAACCGAGAGGAACATTCGACGGCACAGGCACCTAAGCTGCTTTCTTCCATCAACAGTTCCATGCCCCACGATGAAGGGTTGAGAGAATTTCCCTTCCACACCACTTCTGGGTGGAAAGACTTACTGAACAGAAACAAAAATCATAACGTGCTTTCCGTATAATAAGTGGCAGCAAATCAAGGCACGCTGTACTAATTCTGTAGCATTTAGATTAGCTGGCTTTGCAGGGGATGCTCACTGGGGGAGGTCCGATGTTCTCAACTGGCTGCTGGGCCTTGTTGGGCCATACAGAGTAACAGAAGCTATGTGATTATTCTGCATCACCTGAAAAAGGATGGCAGGGAAAAAGGAAAATCAGAAGAACTGCAGACCGAGTGAAAACAGCAAAAAAACGGAACTGATCTGCCTGAACAAAGAAATCCCAAGAACAAAGGAAAGCAAGCTCACAGACAGAAAACTCATGGCTAGTTCCTAAAAAGGATTTCCAGGCTTCCTTGACATTGATACGCCAGCATGCTCCACCAGTTCTCAGAGCTGAACTCACATATCTCCTGCTCGTACAAGCCAAAGGTAACAGTGCTGAGGTGCCAGCTTCAATGTGCAAATGTACAGCCTCAGAGAGGAACTGGCAAGTTGCCTGTTCTGCCCACCATCTCCAAAAACACAGCTTAAATGCTGGCTTTTGTTGAAATATGAAATAAGAAGCTACTAAGTAGCAGTATCAGCAAACTCCTAATCTTCTTTTGCTCAGGTAGATCAAGCTTTTCTCTGCTTACCTCAAAGATCATTCGTTGCAGTCCAAAGCAAAAAGTTGACCCAAATGGGTTAGTGTTGTTCGGAGATGATGACCTGAATGGAAGAGAAGGGAAACAAGGATGCATGAGGACTGGGATTTCCCTTGCAAGAATAACCATTCTTTAATACAATGTAAATTACAGCGTCTTTATGGCACTGAATGGCTTTCACAGAAAGAAAGCCAACCTATGTCGTGCAACAGCACTGCTAGTTTCTGTGTGAGCCAGAGGATACTTCTGTTTAACGTCCCAGAAGGGTTCCTAACAACCAGGAAGAAAGGAATCAAAGCCTCTAACAATCTCTGCAGGAAAACTGTTTCACAGAACTTGGAAGGATGAACTCTGAAAATACACAGAAGTATAGGAAGACAGATCTACCATATAATCTATTACAAATTATTTTTGTGCAAGATCCCTTGCCATTCTTCAATCTCTTGGCCTCCTTCAAGTGTATTCACTATGTGCTATCTCATGTTAAAAATTAGCCTGTCAGATGCAGAAATGGAATAATCTCAATTATGATATAGTATATTTCAAGAGTAATGCATCAGCGGATATTTTTTGATCGTGTATGCAATGATAGCAGACTCTTGCTCACTGCAATGGATTTTAGATTGCAGCCAAAAAAAAAATGAGAAAATAGCTTCTGGCCTTTCTTGTAACTGGTAGGCTTTCAAATTGCATGTCTGAGACATTTATAGATGTGTTCAGTAAAGGAAATTCTGGGTGATCTACTCTCTCAACACATAAAAAAAAATGGGTGAGGGCTATATGTAATCATTATCTTACTCCAGCTTTATTTGACATGGTTTCTGTTCTACCTCACTGGCACCCAACAGTAATAAGGGGGAAGAAAGGGCACAGTACCCCTAAGTTACACTTGTCCTGACATAAAACATAGATTCATATGATTCCACAATAGTTCTGTGAACAGGTAATGCCTTTTTGTCCAACAGCCAGCTCAGAACCTGCAGGAACAGAGTAAATTTAAGCACACTATTCTATCTTCAGTCAGCCTAAAAGAACTGTAGAACAATCATGCATGTACCCAAAAGCAAAACTTCTTCAGACAGATTGCTGCCATATGTTCCAGACACAGATGTCATGTTGTTGAAATGCCTGTGACTGTACTATAAACAACCTACACTATTTATTATACATAAGCAGAAATATTCCTTTTATATGCTGCTTAGGTCTTCACTGGGTTTTACAACTCAAGGAATTTTGGAAATATTCTCTTTCTGCATGTCAGCCCTTAATTCATCTGAGAGCAGTTATCTAAACTCGTTCCTGGCCAAAAGGCATGAAACTTTGACAATAAAGAATCCCAGAAGCAGCAACTGCAATAAATAATCTTTCTCTACCTAAACCCATGCTCTGTTACCAGCTCAATCCCTGCCAAGCAAAAGAAAGAGAACTTCCCTTACCTGTGAAGTACCACTGGCTTCTCTACAGGGTGCCCCAGGAGGTCCTGAATACTGTCCCACTGCAAATACACCAAAGACCTTCTCTTAAAGCAAGTAACAGGAAAACTTTTTTAATTTTATTTTTCAACCTAGGTATCCAATCATGTCCGTCTTTGCAACACGCTTGTTTGTTGATTAACACAGAAGCTGCATTTACAAAGGTACTTTGTGACTAGAGCCATACTCAGTAATAGATACTTTCAGAGTTAGGCATTGCTCCCAGGGTTTATTCTCATTTTTGTCTCAAAATAGCTTTAAATTTTATATAAAAGATCTGCCCTCTGAGTCTTGTAGCATTGCAGGGAGAGTGAATGTCCTTTAAACAGCTGTGGGAAACCTCATCAAAATATCCCTTTGCATATTTTTGCAGAGGGAGAAACAGCATCCCTGCTAGCCTTCCCTAAAGCCCCTCCTTCATTTAACAAGCAGGTTGGGAAGAGAGGAGGAAAGCTGCACTGCTTAATGACAAGGAATTTCCAGCAATTTTCATCTCTGTAAACAGACTTACCAAAAGCTGAAGTTTCACATACAAAGTTGAAATAGGTCAAAGCACTGGAGAATGCAACGTAATTTAAAGCAGAAAGCAAAGAACAGTAGCTTCCAAGTTGCTGACAGGAAAGTGAACCCTCAGAGCCATGAAAACAGCACTGATCCCGGCTGCACGTTAACAGTAGAACCACTCTGGAGCAGAATTTTCACAATGTTTTTCAACTTAAAGAAGCTCTCAAACACAGAGCAGCAACTGCCCAGTTGGGAACTTCACAGGGCTCAGCATGCCATATGATCCTCCAGCAGCCTGCTGCCCTCACCAGGTGTCACACTGGCACTGAGTTTTGCAAGGCTTGCTGCCCTGAAAAACATCTAACTACTGGCAACCTCCAGAAGAAAGAGGAATAACATGGGACCTCATTAGCTACCTACTGCATGTCTTCAAGAGCTACATCAGATCGCAAGGCTCTGTTACAATTTGGTTTAAGAACATCTCTTCCTGTTTGCATCCAGCCACCATTCTCTCACTTTCCACTTACTGTCCTGCTTCTACCTGCAGCTATGCTAAAGTGAGATGCACGCAGTAATTACATGTGCTCAAAGTGCACTATTCAAATACCTTCAGTTCTTAAACATTTGAACCACTAAGCATTACCACAGTAAGTTTTGGCTTGCAACTTTTATATTTTAAAACCATATAAAACAACCATTGTTCTTGCTACAAAATGCATTGCAAATTCAGCATAGAGCATTTAAGGGGCTTAGGGAAAGGAAGAAACCATTCAGGTCTGTACAGACTCACCTTACTGTACGTTGTACACGTTTCAGTCTGTGAATCGGCGCTATCTGCGAAAGAAAAACAGAAAAGCCCTTGTAATTCATGCTCAAACAGACCCCTGTGTAATCCTTCATGTAGGGAGGTTACCTTAGATAGAGGGAGACATGCAAGCATTACATCACTTGATATACACATTAACTAGCATTTGCTAGCAACCAGAATCATAGAGAGCATTGATCAGTTCTCCCGTTGTGTGTAAGAATGTGAGAGAAACAACATCTCCGTACAGCTCAACATGCCTACCACAGACACTCCCCAAAATAACACAACCTGCCACCCAGGTCCCACACCACTGCATTGGGAAAGGAGGCCGGCAAAGCCCACAGCCTGGGGCTGAAGCACCACGGCCTCAAAAACAAAGCAAGCAGAGCGTGGGAACGACTGCCCCAGCATCACTGCTGCAGAAAGGTAAACAAGCAAAAAACCCAGGACCCGTGAAATAACAGGAAAAACTGCAGGCGAGGACAGCATCCTATTTACGTTTACAGTCTCAGAATTGCTTTGTCTGCTGGTGGTTTCAAGCACTGTTTTATACATACATTTGGTGACTCCTAAATACTGAAAGCATTTTCCTGAAGCAGTACGAGTGGAGCTAGACGTTAACGAAGCCAAAGGTAGCAAACAGTCTTTAATTTGATTGAAAGCTCTTCTGTATTTTCCACCTGCTAAACAAATGTGGCCTCTTTCTGGTGAAAGAGCTTAGTGACTGTGCAACTTAACTCTGTCAATTCACTGTCTGAAGCTGAAGTACAGGAGACAGTAAGCATCATGCACTGCCACCAGATGGGAAAAGATGGGCTCTTTGTGTTTTGTAACGTTTGTTTTCAACTTATATGTCCCCAACATATCCTCAAGGGTCAATTAGAAATGAAACAAGTGAAAAAAAAAACAACACTAAAATAACAATAACGACAAAGAAATGGATGCATACAGGAGAGCTCCATAGTGATACTCAAGCTGAATAAAAAGAATCAGAAATGAATGCATTTAAGTATTGCATTATAACCTAAAGGAACAGAATTAAAAAAATAAAACCAAACAACTGAGCAGAACTTCCATGCTTATCCTCTTGACTGAGCTACAAATCAATCTTCATATAAGCTTGTGCATAAAGGCATCGTTTTTCTACACACTCAAATTGCTGTGACATCCACAGGAGAATTGCATTTTACACAGCTAAGTGCTTTCAGTGAAAACCAATCAAAGAAGAATGCATCCCTGGCCAAGCCCTCACAAGCACCCAGTATTCCCTGGACAGGCAGATCAGCCAATACCTGCACTAAAGAAGGTTCTTTGGACCACACTGATTTTCCACTAACAAAGGTTCCCCACGCTTTGTTCAGATGACTTGCATGCACAGAGCTCTGCACATCTCAGTGTCTCACTGAATGAGCACTGTTATCCCATTTGAGAACCTGGGAGCAGCACACAATGCTATTTCCTGAGCTTGGGCATTTTCAAGTGGACATTACAGACTTAGTTAATTTTGCCTACATCATGTAGATGGTATCTATTGGTTGTTTGTTCTCATTCCCAACTACACCACGTTTTACCAAGGATCAGTTCATACTGAATATCATGAATAAACCTTTCAAGAGTGAGCAGCACATCATTAAGAAGTTCAACAGAAAAATGCATAGATCAACTCTGACTAACTCTGCCTTGCAGACTCTGAGTCTTTATGTACAAGGGAACTTATTTCAGCAAAAGAGTGGCACCATTACAGAAAATCAGTGATGTTGCAGCTAAATATCTGTATGATCCAAGCAAGTAGACAAGGTAGTATAAATAATATTAAAAAACCGCAGAACTCATCTTTAAGTATTTTTCACTTCAGAAGAAAAAAAAACCAGCAAAAAAATTTCATCTTCAAGATTAGCACAGAATTCCACAGAATCACTAAGGTTGGAAAAGACCACTAAGATCATCAAGTCCAACCTTTAACCTATCACCACCATCTCACCCTAATAAAACCCAACCCAATCCCTGGTTTCACTGGGAGCTGGTGACAAGGGGAGTGCTGCCAGTGACCACAGAGGCACCCTGAGCTACTGACCGAGGTCCATCGACCACTGACCACAGTGGGGCCACGAGCCACTGACCATGGAGAGACTGTGGTCCATTGACCACTGACCATGGAGGGAATGTTATTTGGCCCCAAAGAATAACCATATTGATTCAGGGCAAAGCAGCAGCACCTTGGTTGGTGTTTGCATAGCGCCCATCCAATGTGGTCACAGCACTGGCCTAACACATGCAGTGCAAAATGAACAGCTGTGACCTGCTCTTTTGCTGTAATCTATAAAAGCCTGCCACCTCCCACGTGCTCCCGATCCCAAGGCTTTTCTGCCATAAATTCAGGATCAGTTATCCTTTCTAAGACAGATGGCTCAAATCTACCTGGCTCATCCTCCCCTCCATTCCAAACTACTTGGGAAAACACATTCATATCTCTATCCTCTGATAGACAAGAATGCATTACAAATGCAAACTCATTACACTGCCACTTTGTGTTTTGTGGCATAAGCACCCTGAAACTGGACAAGACATACTCACCTCGCTTAATGACTAGTGGGATCTTGAATTCACAGCGATGGTAGCTAGAAAGGGCAAATTGTAAAGCTATCAGATAACAGCAGGGCCAATATAAACCACACAGCCAAACTAAGAGCTCTTAACAAGCAGTTTAGTGAAAAGTTTATTGCATAATAACATGAAGAGTCTCGAGAGTATCAGATTAAGAGGAAAAATCACCACTTTCATTTTCTACACCAGAAAGGATATAAAGCTGGAATGTTCTAGCACAATTTTCTAAAGGGCACAAAAGCTCCTTCAGCACAAATTACTCTTGGGACACAGACTGGATAGATAAGTACTCAGCTTAGAAAATGTACTATACATTTTTCTAATAGTAATGCTTTACTGCCTGGAAACATGTTCTCTTTATTCAGACATCCGATCACTTATTCCTTAACTACATAGAACCATAGAATATCCTGAGTTGGAAGGGACTCACAAGGATCACCAAGTCCAACTCCTGTCTCTACAGAGGATCACACAAAAACAGATCAGTTCTTTACACTCACATGTTAAAGTTGTAATGACCAGGATAATTTGTATGCAAGACAAATTTCTTCACCTTGTGAGTGTTTGCATCAAAGAGAATATCCTGTTGAAGAAAAAGAAGAAACAAAATAGACAGGCATGAAGCAACTTGAGATGAGTAGCAAGTGTATCTGCATACAGTAACAAGCGTGAATCCAACTGGAACCAAATTGAAAAATGAAAAAGAAAAGTAATTTTTGAGAATGAGACTATTTGTAAATTAAAAAAAAAGCACCCTTCCTGCAGCACTTGACCACAACTGCAGTTTCATTTGCTCATGTTGGCAATTTTTCCAAGGAACTCTTGTCTTTCTACTAATTATTTACACCAGTGTAGCTGTATTACTACACTAAGGGGGATATAAAAGTTGAGGTACTTCCCACAGCTCTGCAAGCTTTCATCATTGGTATTTTGGCACTTGTCTCTTAGCACTTTAGAACTTGTCTCAGTTCTACTGGACAGGAGTATGGACTTCAGAACAAAAAGCTCATCTGCCTACGCATCAGGCATGGAAGAAGGAGAAAATCAAAGAGAACACCAAAGCACAAGAATGAGGAGCTCACCACCCAGTGCTAGATAAGATAAAAGGTTACTGATTGAATTCACAAGTGCTAGAAAAAGCCAGTGTTTATTTTCATTTGCAGAGATTCCTAAGGCAGCAAGAGTTTCAGTCTCTCATCCCCCAGAGCCTTCTGAAAGGACTGCTGTGTAGGGAAATCAAAACTTCACATGCATTTGTTTATGGAAGCTTCCCACTCACCACTCCGAGTGTGAAATAATTGAAGAAGTAGTCATTGCACTTCGATGGGACCTGCTTATGGGGCGAGGGTGAGTGGATTTTCATCTGCAAGAATCATTTTTCAGACATTAAAAACACTGCCAAAGATGAATATTATTAACAATTGGTTCTCTACATTCCAACCAATTGCCATAATCTCATTTTTCACTGAAGCCCTTGCTCAAAAATGTCAGATACTGTGCTTCACGACAAGCCAATCAGCTGCTAGCAGAGGCATAACACCTTTTTCTTTTTCAGTTATATGAAGCAGGATTACTCACATGCTGTTACCGTAAAAACATCAGGAAAGGATCAAAGTACATCAGGTTACTTCAAATGAAATAAAATGTTTTAAAAAAATAAATGGTACACACTTGCTATGGCTTATGTGGATAGAAATGCTCATTTTTATCAACTTTCCTATTGATTAAAAATTATGACAGATATATGCATATTTTTTAACTTAAACTGATTTGCATCAATACAGCTTAAAATATTTTTAGAAACAAAACAATGTAGCAGTTCATTCTGGTCTGTGCGACAAATTAATTGCTCATCATCTGTGCTACGTGGAAGTCTAACTGCTGGCCCCACAAAGCCCAGGTCCTGTAGTTAGACAGTAACAAAGTCCTGTGTGCTACCCAGCACCCTTACCTTATCTTCAGACTTGTAGAAAACTTTGTGCGGGGACCCCAGGGTGCTCAGCACATCCTGGCATGAATCACCAAAGTACACGCAGCGCTCAAATACCCGCATCTTGGCATCTGCCAGCACACCAGGGCCACAGCCTGAGAGCAGGAGGCACAGTATCAGAAGGAGCCATCAGAGAGCCACGTTTGTTACAGATACATCTCACTGAAAGCCCCTTACAAAGATGAATGGCTGACATCTGCTGCTACGTGTCAACAAGCAGCAGGATATTAGTTTGTGACCCCATTTGCTTTCAGGAACGCAGCACCCAGAATGCACATACACGTAGGCATCAATTAACACAAAACACAGGACGCATTTAGCTTTTCCCAGATACATTATTCTCACTGTATGTTATTCACAGAGCCACCTCTCAAATACAGTAAGTCAGAAAATTTTGACCTAATCACCCATAATTTTTTAAGCAAGAGTTATCTCAAATGAACATCTCCGCAGAGAACCTCACACTGCAGCTGCTGTATGGCACCTTCTGCAAAAGGCTTTCTGCAAGGCTTTGGTAGAGGAACACCATGTGCCAGGACTGCCTCTTTGCACGTGTGGTCTGAATGCTGCTGTGACATTTTAATAATTATTAAAATAATTTTTAATTAACACCTCTCTTGAGTTGCACACACACATCTAACTCAACTTGACAGTCTACCTTAGCTCACTGCCTTCCTAGCACGTGAAGATACATGTTCCCTACCCTAGACAGCTCTCCATTTTTTCCTTCTGCAAAGACAGAAGCAAAGTAACTTGAGAATATCTGCTCTACTTTAACCATTTTATTCTTCATCTCAAGTTCTAACCCCTTCCATTTTTTGCGTACCAGAAAAATATTCTAAGTGCTTCCTTAATACACACACAGCTAGTAATCAGCACAAGAAAAAAGCAGGGTCTGCTAGTAAAAGTTGTTACAAACATCTCAGTATTTCTTCTTAAAAAGACATTGCCACGTTAAGGTCACTGAAAAAGTCTCATTTGCAGTCATTGTCTCTTTCCCTAATTTCTAAGGCCTGCCAGTTTCTGAAAGCACACACAAGGACAAGTTACTCATCAGCCTCTAGTGAGGCTTGTCATCACCCTGGCTGCTGGCTCCACAGCAAAATAAAGCTGAACAGAATTAGAAGTGAAGTCTCGGGCTACAGCATTGATACGCTTCCCCACCTGTCAGCTGGGGCTGCAGAGGACAGCCCTTGGTGACGCCTCGCAGGCCAGGAGAACGTGACTGAGTTTTGTTGTGCTTCCAATCATTTAAAATAAGGTTATTTAAGACCGTTTTGAAAACACCTACAATTGCACTGCAGTTGTAGTGCTCTGGGTGTCACAAATACCTGCAGTGAGGAGGCGAAGCCGTAAACCTGAGGGTCCAGTCCCATCCCTCAGCACATCGACGTTCTCAGCATATACATTGCCAAGGAAACAGCTGAGGGGCATCAAGGGAGCCCTGAAACCAACCAAACAAACATGTATGTAGGACACAGTCTTCCCAGGTACCATTACCAACCTGAAGGCAGTTCACTGGAACAGAGCACATGAAGTTTGACAAAGCAGCATTGAGCTCAGACTGAAGACCAGAAGTTAAATTTGACATAAGGATTAGAAATCCCGCAGAAAAATAAAGGAGTAACAAGTCAGGATTCAAATGAAGGACCCTTACTGTTAATGAAACCAACAGCAAGTTTCAAAAACTCCAGAAATTACTACATCTGAATAGCCTCTGAATAGCTCCTAGGAAAATGTGTCATTTCAGACTTCGCACAGGAAAGTAAAAATCGTATGGTCTTTAAAGGTATTCACTACACAAACTAGGCATATCACCCAACCAGAAGCTCCTTCACTACATGCTCTCACTGCACCTGGGAATGTATTGCATAGTCCAGAATGTGAAAGCAGCTCGTGCAGACAAAACGTGTGTGATCACATTGCTTTCCTGGGACAGGCCTCACTTTAATTCAGTTTAACAAATTATTCAATTCAACAACATTTGAGAAAACTATCTCAAATACCAACAAGATACCTTCAATCAAACAGCTGCTTTATTTGTGCTCCAGTTCGATGGGGCTTTCTCCTCTAAAGTCAATGCAGGTGCTGAGCTGGCAGACGTGCGCAGCATGTGCTCTCCCTGCAGCCCAGCACGGCGCGGATGGGCACAGACAACATTTCTCTAAAGTGCACTTATTTCTAATTAGAGACAGTGTCTGTGTAAACAAGGTTGCCTTTCTCCTTAGCTGTAATCTATTGATGCGTTAACCTTCTCCTGCCATTAAATTGCAATTATTTCTACAAAACTACCACTAGGTTTGTTTGGTTGTTTATACACTACAAGGAAGAATTTACAAAAGCTCTTCCAATTTTAACTTGAGTAACAAACTCCAGGAACAGTGTTTTTAGCAAGAGCAAAACATCAGATGCTGTACAGTAAATTACTGCTTAGAAGAAGGCAGAACACAATGCCACAGAAAACACTCACACTGCTCAAACACAGCTATTCCATCAGTTACCTCCTTGGAGCAGTAAACTCAGCCAGGGAATTGAAAATATATAGACTGAGTGATAGATTACACACATGGCTTAAGTTCCAAAATAATTAATTTTTATATTGCAAGAGAGTATAAGACTCTTAGGAGGGTCCTGCCATGATGTACATAGCACCAAACTGACTGACTACCAACCACAAGGAGTTGGATTTGACTAGGAAAAAGTCATGAGAATGCAAAAAATACAGAGTATAAGAAGTGTGTAAGAATAATCTGGCTGCGTCTCTTCCTAGATTCACCACCTTTCCTCCTCCATCTCATGAATTAATCTTCACTTTAACTGAACTAGCCTACAACAGGCAGGCCAAGCTGATTTCACAGTAATTAGAATCAAACCAGCACTTGATAACAATGTTGGAGGACAATGCCTATGGTAACTGGAAAGAGATTTATATCTAAAGGCATTCTGCACACCGCTTAGTCCCTAAAAGACTGAAATAAAAAACTAAGTATAGATAACCACATTTAGCATTTGCAAAACCATAGGTAAACGAGGAGGAAGTAGTGCACAGTAAATAATCAAAACCCCACAACCAGCCACACGTACTTGGTATCCTGCAGGCTGTTTCCATTGTAGATGTACATGCGTTTCACAGTCGCACCGTGTGGAATTTGCAGAGAAGCCAGACCATGCGCAAAGTTAGGCTGGGGAGACAGAGAGCCATCCTTGTTAGCCTGACACACTAAAAATTCTTCAGGTCAAATGTTACATTAGAAATACAGGACATCTTACCAACACAGGTGAGTTTCTAACCAAACACAAGGGGGGGTAAAATAAATAAATAAATAACACATCCAACCTTATACATGGTGTGAGCTTACGTTACACTGCTCTTGGATTCCCAAGCTGGGATGAAATGCTCACTGCACTGATCCACCAAAAGATGGCACTAGTTGGTCAGTGAGCCACGCACGCAATGAGAATTGAAGTTTTCTTGGTTTTCCCACCAACTAGAAATATAAAATTTGAACGGATAGCCTATTTCTCAGAACTTAAATACAACTTATTTAAAGGTAGAAATTATTTTTTCTCTTCTACTGTGTTAATTTCATCCCTTTAACATCGGTTAAATTTGCTGGTTTGCAAAATGCCCTTATCTGGCGAACACTCATTCATTGCATAAATTTTCTGCTCTACTTATCACTACATTCTCACACTTTCAGACCTTTGATATTAGAACTGACCTTCTTAAGAGCTCAGCCATTTAATTTATAGATGCACTTTCAACCCATACACAAAAAGCTACTTTCCTAGGATATTCTATTTGGCTTATGTTAGCTTTCAGCTTTTCTCCTTTGGATAAGGATCAGAGGGAAGACCAGCAAGGCTAACATCCTGGTTACAGACCACCCGACCAGGATGAAGAGGCAGATTCTACAAGCAGCTGTCAGAAGTCACACAGTCGCTCACCCTTGTTCCTGGGGAGGATTTTAACTCACCAGATGACTGCTGGAAATATAGTGCAGCAGAGAGAAAACAGTCTAGGAAGTTCCTAGAGTGTGTGGAAGGTAACCTCCTGACACAGCTGGTAAGAACCTACCAGGGGAGGTGCTCCCCTGCACCCACTATTCACAAACAGAGAAGGTCTAGTGGGAGATGTGGTGGTTGGAAGCCACTTTGGACATAGCGACCATGAAACCAATCTCTACTCTTGGTTAAGTCAGGAGAGGGGTCAGCAAAAACGCTGAAGACAGGGAAGGGGAAGAAGAATAAACCTCCACAATTCAAGAGAAAATAGAGACCTGCTGCTCCACGAGGGGCCAGACGGGATCCACCCAAGGGTGCTGAGGGAGCTGGCACAACTGATTGCCAGGCAGCTTTCTAACATTTATCAGCAGTCCTGACAGATCAGCCAAGGAGGTTCCAGGCAACTGGAGACTTCCTAATGCAACAGCCATCTACAAGAAGGGTTGGAAGGAGAATTCAGGCAACTACATGCCTGCCAGCCTGACCTCAGTATCAGGGAAGGTCATGGAGCAGATCATCTTGAGTGCAATCACCTACAACGTGTGGGACAGCAGGGGATCACACGGGGTCACCAAAGGCAGGTCCTGCCTGAGCAACCTCATCTCCTTCTACAACCAGGTGACCTGCCTGGTGGATGAGGAAAGACTGTGGATGTAGACTATCTGGACCTTGGTAAAACCTTGGAGTCCATCTCCCACAGAGTTCTCCTGCAGAAGATGGCAGCCTATGACATGGACAGGTGTACTCCCCACTTGTTAAAAAAACTGCCTGGATGGCCAGGCCCAGAGAGTGGTGGTGAATGGAGTTCAATCCAGCTGGTAGCCAGTCTCAAGTAGCGTTCCTCCATGGTCAGGATTAGGACAGTCCTTTGATGATGTGAAGGGGACTGACTGCACCCTCAAAAAGTTTGCAGCTGCGAGGAAGCACAGATCTGCTAAAAGATAGGAAGGCTTTTTAGAGGGATCTGGATAGGCTGGATCAATGGGCTGAGGCCAACTGGATGAGGTTCAACAAGATTGAGTCCCGGGTCCTGCACTTTGGTCACAACAATCCCATGCAGTGCTATGTGCTTGGGACAGAGTGTCTGGAAAGCTGCATGGCAGAAGAGGATCTGGGGGTGTTAGCTGACAGCCAGCTGAACGTAAGCCAGCAGGGACCAAGAAGACCACTGGCATCCTTGCTTCTATATTGAGAAATAGTGCAACCAGCAGGATAGGAAAGTAATCATGCCCATGTACTCAGCCTTGGTGAAGCCACATTCCAGATACTGTGTTCAGTTTCAGGTCACCCACAGCAGGAAAGACAGCAAGGCCCTGAAATGTGTCCAGAGAAGTGCAAAGGAACTGTGAAGGGTCTGGAGAACAAATCTTACGGAGAACAGCTGATGGAACTGAGGTTGTTCAGGCTGGAACAGACAAGGCTCAAGGTAGACCTCATCACTGTGCAACTCCCTGAAAGGAGGCTGTAGGGAGGCAGGGGTCAGCCTCTTCTCCCAGATAACTACTCATAAGACAAAAGGTTTCAGCCTCAAGTTGTACTATGGGAAGATCAGGTTTGATATTAGGAACAACAATGCTGAAAGAGAGGTGAGGTGCTGGCAGGGCTGCCAATGGACAGGAGGTGTCACCATGCAGATAGGGCAGTGAGGGACATGGTTAGCAGGCACGGTGAGGTTGGCTTACAGTTGACCAGATCATCTTAGAGGCCTTTCTAACCTTAATGATTCAAGTATTTCTGAACTCAGCTGACCTTTGTTACTGCTAACTGGTAACCTCACCAACCAGCTCCATGCTTCCTCGTACGTTGAAATACAACTCCTTAAGAGCTAAGCTGTGATACGGAAAAAATGCCCCCATGTTGGTAGATTGCTCACACTTTGATTTGATACGTTTCTGTTTTATTACTGGTTCCATACTGCACACATTCTTTTTACTGAGGATCACAGGCAATAAACTGAAAGCTGCCCCAACATCATACAAAATAGTTATGTTTGTTTTCATTAGCACAGGTGGTAGTCACAGAAGACGTGATCTTATTTCCAAAGATTTCAGAGAACACATTAATACATTAAATCATTCAATAATTCATCCAAACATTTAGCCAACTGTGCCAACAGGCATCACAAATAAAGCTCATTCACTTGGCTTTCTAAAAGCACTCACACTGAAGGACACTTAAGACAAAAAACGTATTTTATGAACCCTGTCCTAGTTTTGTTGCATAATCACTATGATGAGATTCAAAAATATCTGATAAAAAAAAAAAAAAAGTGCTCCACATTAGATTGCTTAACATTTATGTATTTGCACAGAGGGAGCTCATATTTTTAGCAGATTCTTTTCAACAACAGAATTATTAGTCCTGGTGCACAATACAAGCTAAAGCTCTAAGCGCGTGCCTTCTACTTTTCAGCAGGGGGAGAATGTTCAACTCCAAAATGAATACACAGCACAAATCAGAGCACAACTGAGGAGTTAAATTTCTTCCAAATTACTCGTTTCTTTTACTTAAAGGCTTGACGCTGTAGGTGATATTTTGCAAGTAGCATAGAGGCAAAAAGACTATCCATTAACCAAGAATGATTTGCTAACCTCGTACTTTGGAGTTTCAGTCCAGGAGTCTAGCTGAAAAGAAAACGACAGTCCTCTGAAATTGAGGTGAAAGAGTTGTTCAGCTGAATTATACACTAGAAGAGAAAAAGAAAGGAAAAAACAGTTACAAAAACTGACAAAATTCCCTAGCAGCTCAGATCAAAAGCACTTTCATAGCAGGTCAATTAATTCATTAGGTCTGAGGAGGTTGGGAGGAACAGAGTCACTGGGCGCTAACTGGTTTGCTGCTCATTTGCTGCCGTTGAAAGACAGCACTAAGAGAAACCTTAAATTTATTAAAATAAGAGTTGCCTATGTAAGCCTGTAGGCACTAATATATCCCTAATGATGCAATTATACAATGCAGCAATCACTTAGCATCATTAAAATAGTTTCAGCAGCTACTATTACCACTAAACAACTCTGTTTGCTGTTGTGTGACACTTGTACAGCCCTGACCACGAGTTGTTTCAAGCACAAGAGCCCAAAAGGTTAGTCAGTTTGGTATTTCACACCACTGGGAAGCAAGGTCCTAGGAGGGGGGGGGGTTGAAAGCTCACAGGTCCCTCCCTGTCTTCACCAAGGGGAGCTCCAGCTCGCATGCTGCAGTAATACAAGGAAAGGCTTCAGACACACAAGTCCTGATCCATTTGTAACAATAATTAAAAATAGCACCATCAGAAACATTCACTGATAGGCCAGATTTTAAAAAGGATAATAAATCAGGGCATGCACAGACTTCCAGTTGTCATCATGTCATAAATGTCCCGATTTATTGCAATAAATTGCTCAACATCATCTACAAACAGCAATAACAGTCACCCCACTGTTTACTCTGATGAGACATTGTTTTGTGAGACTGTGGAAAGCTCAAAAACAATGCCAGGAGACCAGGAGCTCGAGAACAGCTCTGGAACTGATGCTGCTGGGTTCAACCTGCCCCTGGTAGCCACTGGGTAGAACACAGTGTTCTTCTGACACACGGAAGCTGGCTCATTTGCAGAAGGGTTTGAAAACAGCAGAGGCAAAACAACAAAAACACCACAATGAAGAAACGCCGCAGCAAGAGAAGCTGCTTTCTTCAACCTATGCAGTTGAAATTGGTTCAGTGTTCTGGGCTTTTTTTCCTCCTTACGGTTTCACATTTAAGAAAACATAGCAGCTTATCATTTAGAGAGAAAAGGCATTTAATTGTGGCTTTGTTTTTGTTTGTTTGTTTTTAAAACAAAATAGATCATGTTTAGATACATCTAAAATAGATGTTCAGCTTCAGAGACATGTCACAAGATAGATGTACGATGCCAGACTGCCCAGGATAGAAAAATAATGGTTAGGCAATAAGCACTAAGCTTTCAGAAGTCATCGTTTGTCTTTGCTGCAGAATGTGCTGGTTAAGAGCATTTTCCCTGACTGTCACTCACAGCAAAACGTGTGGGGAGAGGGAAGTGTTTTGATCTGCAGGAAAATTACACAAGTCTCTCTCATGTGATAAATTATGATGCATCTTTTCCAAAGCCCACAGCCAGCTGGAGAAGTGTTTTTCCCCTAGTCATGCCAAGTGTGATATCTGATTATACACATCGCATCGATTCCCATCCTCTGCAATGTTTATTGATGTTGAGGTTTAAAGGGCAAGGAACTTATTTATCCCCAAGATCTCTCTCGCATGTCCCTCAAGATCCTATGCCACAAATACCTATGTGGTATATGGTTTTTAATTGTTAGGGGTTTTTGTTTGCTTTTCTTTTCAAACTCACTACCCAGGTATCCTGCAGATTAACTTTGCTAGAAAAAGCTGAACTTGCAAAAGGACTGCTTCTTTGCTGCTGCATTCTGGGACAGGGAATGGGAGGGAGTCTGCCTTCCAGGAAAGCAGCAAAGTGTGGGCAGCTGGGAAAAGTTCCTGTAGAGAAGGATGGGACAAAGCCACAGCTACCAGCAGATCAGAGCCAGTCCTGAGCAAAACAGAGGTAGATCAGAAGTCCCACTGGTCTCAAAACGAGACTTTTCCAGCACCCCACGAGAGTCAGAGGGCAACCTGAGAGCTACAGAGCTGGAAAACAGGGGTCTACCCCCTCCAGTAACACCACTGCAGCTCTTTTCTCTCCGAGTGCCATTCAATCCCACAGCCCTTACCCACACTGAACAGCGCTCGGGCAAGCAGCCACATCCACGAGGATGCAGCACAGGATGTGACCGCAGTAGAACCACTGGCAGGAGCAAGCACTCCCCAGCAGGAGCTCAGGTCAGGAGACCGTGGAAGGAAGATGGAAAGCGGTACAAAGCCTTGGCTTTCATGAAGCTGTTGACCTTCAAAGCACTCATATTTCAATCAGCTCCATGGCAAAGATACTACAACATTTCAAACTAACGTGGGCCGAAAGGGAACGAAGCTGGTTACAATTTTTCTGATGACTTTTCCTTTTTCAAAACCACTGATGGGGCAAAACCAGAACTGCTCATTGAAGGTTTCAAGAAAAAAAAAAAAAAACAACCAAAAAAACATTGCTAACCTTTTGAAATACGCTTTGAAACTATCACTGTGGCCTGTGCAGAAAAGCCCTGCTGCAACCACGTTGGTTTAAGGGAAATTCAACATTCTGTTATGAAATTCTAGTGGATGTTAACACAGAGACAAACAGAATGCTCTTCATCTTCAGGAGTTTGCACTGGGTTTTACGGAAAGTAACAGCACAGAGCAGGAGATGGCTGTGTCATGCTGTTGTTCATAGAGACTGGCTGCTGGTCCTTCTGTCACACTGCAGTGGGGGAAAGTTTATTTTCCCTCCTTTCTCTCCCCACAGCCACTTCAATTTTTGGGGGCCATGAAAACACTATCATCAACCCTCCCACATGCTGAAAAGCTACTGTGTTGTGTGCTTGCTTGTTTTTGCCTTTCCTGTTTAAGGAAACAGAGGAAAAAAAAAAAAAAGACCAAAACTTTGCATCGCATGTTACACTTCAAGCACTCTTTATGACCAGACTGCTTACTAGAGAGCACTTACTCTAAGTAGGCTGTTAGTGGAAGATACTGGATTTCCAAAATTAAAACTGAACAAGCATTTGCACACTAGTGAAGCAGTGACTGAGGCCAACAGCTTAAATAGACTTGCATATCTACATGTCTCCAGGTGAAAACTACCATCAGATGAAGCAAGCAAACTTTAATTGAATGTGCCAGGTGCACGAGGATCTGGCAAGCATGAAAGCACATGATTCCAAACTACATATTTAAGTGCTCACGTGCAATTTTGATACAGTAATAAAACATGCTGGTCCTATCATAAACAACGCTTACAGCTGAGATAATTATTTCTAAGTTTCATAACACCACAATTTTACAATAATTTTTAAAATATTTGCAAATAGTCTTTGTCGCAGAACAAATCAAAAGTTACAAATTGTCAAGGGCAAGCAGCCACTTTTACCTTTCCTAAACTCTATGAAGTTCTTGTACACACTATTTCCATAACAGCTAACTGTAGATCTCAGTGTGCCTACGAGGAAATGCTAAGATCACGACTGAAGTGGAATTTAAAAAGGCTTACTCTGCTCCTTGGAGTATTACAGCCTGAAATCTTCTGAACTTCATTTATCTCCATCTGATATTCAACCACCACAGCAGGCTTTTATGCAATGATGTTACTTTAGCCACATGACCCTCCACAGTTAATAAACTCTGCTCTGTGATGTGCAAGAAACCAATTGCAGAGAATAGGCACAAAGACTGGACGTGCAACCACCAGCAACCACAAGAAGCTCCAGTCTTTCTGGGATCACCCTGACTACTGCAAATGAACCCAGTAAGCTAAAAATAGAGGAAGATATCTCAACCACATGCAGTTCGACTTCTTTCCCATTATGCCAGTTTGGGGCTCTATTTATTGAAGGTTCCTGAGCAGTTTAGCTACAAATATCCCCTTCTTCTGTTTCACCACTTGCTTATTCTCATTATTTAACAAACCCCCAAGGCGAACTCAATTTTCACATGTAAGCAGGGGACTTAAAAAATAACACTTCTGCTATAAAGGTGTTAAAAGGCCAAGTAGCTCTGTAAAAGCCATTGGGGGTTCAAGTCAGGTTACAGAAACCTGCCCCAGTCCTGGTTGTGCTGCCCCCAAGGCTTCACATCTCCCAGGAGCATAAAGGAGGTGCAGAGAGATGCAAACTAAGTCTCTCAGTGCACAGAGCTTGAGCAAACTGTCCTGGCTGCCTCTGCATGGAGATCAGCTCAAATGTCTGTATGTTCATGGTATACTTAATCCCTAAGGACACTTAAGAGCATACCATGAGGAAGAAAGTGTAAAAACAACAGTATCAACAACAAAGCTCTGAATTCTCTGGTACTGGCAGTTCAATAGAGATTGTTAATGATATCTGAGAGCAGCGTTCTGTGCCAATGACTCCAGCTATAAAAACATGGCCACTCTGGAACACAACTTCAAATCATTTGAGAACAGAAGTCTCCACACATTTCTCCAGGCAGACATACAGGAAAGGCTTTATAGAAAAAGGTCACTCAATCTAGGTGTACTTCTCATTCCCAGAAATATTTTGGCTTACCTCCTGGATGCGTTGCTCCAAAAGACTGATCAATTTGTTCTATGGTTGGAGCAATTGCCTGAGAGTTAAAATGGACACCACTGAAAAACAAAACGAGTCTGCCCTAAGAGCACTGAACGGATGATTATAGACGTTTACTAAAGGCAACAACACACTTAAATTGGAGAAGTCTCAAGACTGAAGGAAATGAATAACCTTGCTCAAACACAATACTTGGTTATCTACATTTACTTATTAACAGCTACTGTTTTCTTAACGAGAACGGTTGAAAAGTGAATTCAGAACAAAAAAAGGAGAGGAAGCAGTCATTGGAATCAAGAAAAGATTGTTGAAGGTCTTAAGTCACTTACCAATATTTTAACTTCACCTTAGTCAAGTCATAAACTTCAATCACCTGAAACATAGGAAACAAACATTACCACATTTGCACATCATAACAGAGGCAAATTCTTATCAGAAGGCAGGGAAGGCAAAGGCAGCTTGTAGCGCTTGGCCCTCTCCCATCAGTTCTGCTAGGATAAATCTCAGACTGACAAACTCCAAGAACTCATTCAGCAATTGCACATCCAAAACAGTACTGAAGAACAGCCATGGACTCAGCATGGTACCCCTGGATCCTGTACAGACCAGTACTGATGTGCAGACAGCAGCCTTTCTGCTAGCATGCCAGCATCTTGATTTCTGCACAGACTACTCTTAGGCAAGACCAAAAGTAATCCAGTCAGGGGATCCTCAAATGAAAACCAAGCAGCAGGCCATCCTTTGGGTCACTCTTACTACCTTGAAGAATGCCTCTACAGGGCAGCAATTCCTAGTGCTGACTGCACTGCTTCCACTTCCCAACTTTTTTTTTTTTTTTTTTTTTTTTTTTTTTTTTAAGGAAAGGATGAACACAGAAAAACTAAACAGTAACATTGCATTTCCATCTCTCCAAGCACTGCAGAAAACGTGAACAGTAGTCCACAAGGAACCAAAGCCACAGTTCTTAGTTCTAATGTATTTCACACTTCATTGAATGTTCCAGGGGAATCCCCAGAGTCATTATTAGGCATGTCAATACTACATATGGCTCTTTTGTTCCAAACACATTATTGCAAACTGGCATTCAAGACTGATTTTGTGTGATTTTTAAGTGACTGTTACTAGATTTCTGGGGCTACACTGGGCTTTAGGAGGATTCTAGATAAGCAAGTAATCATTGTCAAACAAAGTCTTCTTCCACCCTATATTCGTGTTCCTCTGTTTGCAGACAAAGGAAAATAGGCAGAGCCCACCCTATTTGCTGTCAAGAAAATGTGCTCTTCATGCTTTGGAAGGATGCACTGTTCAGCCAGAGCACAAAGCAGAACTCCTTGCCTCTGTGTGTGGCTGTAAAGCCCAAAAATATCGCCAGCGAAGAAGGAAGTCCTGGTTTGGGGAAACGCCTGGCAAATAACCCTAAATAGAGCTACTTGCAACGCCCAAACCACTATATATTAAAAAATGAAAGAAAAATCAACATTCAGTGGTATGCTGTTGACTCATAAAAAGCTGGAAGAGTTCTCTGAAGCATTTCTAGTTTGCTTGGAAAGCCCACATGTTTCAAGACACACGCAACAAGCGTAGCACAAAGCACGTAACTTTAAAATTATGGCAAAGCTACCCTAAAGCAGCACAGATTTCTCAACAGACAGACACACTCCTGCACTTCTGCTGAACACGAGACAGAACAGAGAGCAACAGAGAACAGCCAATGAAGGGCAGCACGTTGCAGCACAAGGTGCCCACGCCATGGAGAAATGCGCTGCCAGCAGGCACCAGTTTGCCACCAGCCCTCTTCCCACAATTTGGGTGGAAAATTGATCCATGTCAACATTGCTTTTTGCTTACCACAAAGAAAGAAACAAGCACAACTCAGCAAAACTTAAATCTAGTCCAAAGATCTTGTCAAAATCATGAAAGACATAGACTGAAGAAACAGTGCAGCAGGCCCCAGCACCAGAAAACAATTCATTTTTGAAGCCACTTTAGCTTGACTCATCCTACATATAGGGGAGCAAACAACTGAGAAGACCAAGAACAATTGGCTGCCTACCCCACCAGAAGGCACTTATTGGCCTAGCAAAGTAAAATCTGCTGTTTAGTCACACGGGCTGCTTTGATGGATCATACTGACTACAGATCACAGATGTGTCCAGGTGTCTTCTAACAGCACTAACAGAACAGCACTGTAAAACTTCTCCCTACCCGAGCTGGACAGGAGTCAGTGCAGTACAATTCACAGTAGAGCAATGCTTTCAGAATCTGACCCAACCTCCTTCATATCAGCTACAAACTCACATAACATCTGCATTGCTTTTGCTCCTGAAAGTGAACAGAGGGATTGCACAGACATCCTGGCACTCCCTGAACAGAGGGAGGGAATGTTTTAGGAGTACTGATACCATGAGCTACTTTGGCTCTGTCAAACTTCTCTTTCAACTTCTTTCTCACAATCAAATCCAATAGCAAGACTGCATTTAAAAAAAAAAAAAAAAAAAAAAAAAAGCCCAACAAACAGAAACAAATCACAGAAAGTGAAGAATAAAGAAAAAAAACCCAATTCTTCCAGTTTTGCTGCTGCTGAGCAACACTGAAAACAGTGTCACACCTCAAAAACCAGGTATTACTTATTCTAAACCCACACTTTCTTACAACAAGTGCTGCTGCTCACTTCTAAGCAACCCCACAGAATTTCTTCTGCAAAGCTTCTGGAGCAGTTTTACGAGTAGTTTTCATAGCACTGTATGCTTTTACACAGCTTTTCTCTCCGGAGCTAACAAACAGAAGATACACCACTTTGATCACTGAATGGCTACATACCAGAAGAGGTTGGTCGGTGTGTTTTGTCTTTAAACAAAACTCTAAACGTCATAGGGAGAAAAACCAGGCAAAAATCCCTGCGTGTTTCTTACAGCACTAAGTGTTGAAGTGACACCAAAGCAAGACCTTCAAAAATTGCTTGGAGATGCAAAGACAGAGCAAACGCTACCTGCAGTAATTCAACAAGAGGACAGTGGCATTCAAATGACTGGAGAGGAGTAAGACGTCCGCTTGCCATGATTCAGTTTTGAATTCCACCTCCTCAGAAAACAATAATTTTTTGCCAAGATCTCCTACAGGTGTAGCTTATATTGATAAAGTTCTATCTGACAAAGAATACGTGAGATGTTATCTCAAAAACTGTAAATGCAAGTAAACAACTTGAATAACTCGAAGTTCCAAATCTTAACAAAAAACAAAGTCGCATTGTTGTAGGAATGAGTTTACAAAACAGAAACTTTTGCAAGGCAGTTACAAACTGAAATCTCCCCCCAAAAATGCCTGTGTTTCAGGCTACCACTGCCTCCAATAACCACAGAGTTGAGCTAGACATAACAGTTTTACAGCAGAAGCATCTGAACAGCTTCGGCTGCTGCTTCAGCACGTTCTTCAAATGATTTGGAGAGAGATGTTTTGCTGCTGCTTGTATCAAGTAAAGACAAGGCAGTTGCAGCTCCTGCCGCTGGGAGTATGGATGTGAGCACCATGCTCCAAAGTTACCTCAAGGGTAAGCACAGATTTTCTGGCACAGCATTTAACCCACACATCTGCTTTCAACTGCTACATGTCCAACAGCTGGGCAGCTGGAGCAGGGCACTCGCACACCATTAGCCCCATCAGCCCCTGGGTGCTGAGCAGAGAACCGTGCTCAGATGGCTGTGTGCCAAAGCCTGAATCTGTGATCATCCCAAATGCCAAGAAAGTTAGATAGAAAGATTTTAAATGCTGCAGTTATGAGAGTTTTTTAAAATGCTATAGTGATTCAGCTGTGTCTCTGCAGTCCCACAGTGATCCATTTCACATCACATTTACAACAGACTTTTGGAGATCATAAATGCCATGGGAGGTTAGCAACCACCTGCTCTTTATTTTGTGTCTTAACTACATACAGCATCCTAGAGAGGCAGAACAGCACTCAGTCACCTGAAAGAGCAGATGTGGAACTGCAAAAAAGAAATGCAGTTCGTTATCACAAGGCAGCACTAAATATGGTACATTAAATGCATAGAAGGATCACACACTTATTTACACTACTTTAACTGGCAGTATTATCCTAGGGTTTAGTTTTGCACCTTTTCTTTGCAGGAGGGGTGTTTTATTACCTTAAGTCTCTGATTGAAAGCATCAAACAGCAGTTTGATTCCATCCTGAGTCAGGTTAAGGATGAGGTCGTGGCTAAGAGGTGACTGCAAAACAAGAAAAGCTGTTAGGCCTATAATTTCAAGGATTCTCCATTCAGATATATAATCCTTGTACAAACTGGTTACCTCGGAAAAAACAAAACTGCCTCAGAAAACAACTCTTTGTTCAGTGAATACGTATAAAGCAAACACATTTAGCCAAAGCTTCCAATGCCGTCAGCTGTCTTACAGCTAAAATTAGGGTCTCTGAATCTTGCAAGAACTCCCAGAAGGGCATCTGTCCATTATTAATTTGAGAGGGAAAATAAGCATCCTCAGAAACAAACACATCAAGCTTAGTATCACACACAGGCATCACACAGGGGTAGTCTGCCACAACCCTGGCACACGGAAATAACACATCTTGCACCACAGCAATGACATCACTCGACAGAAGGACAGCGAGAGGGTTCTCCACTTCAGAAAGCCAGGAGTGTCACAGTCTTCCTCAGGCCTGAAAAGGAAGGCTTCAGACTCTTCTGCTGTGAATTTTGGTTTCCTTAGTTACTGTGAATCATAACAACTCAAAGTCTAATTTGCAGTCTGCTGGAGTCAATAGGAGACATTCCACTGGCTTCCCTGTGTCTGGACAGGCTCCACGCCACCTCAGCTCGCCGCAAAGCTCTGGAAGCAGCTCTCCTGCACTGGTACAACCCATGCACATACAGCCTGCTGGTCCTAGTTCAGCTATTTGGTAGCCTACCACTTGAAGCACACTCGCTTTGAAAAACTCTACCCTCCATTTCTGTCTGCTCAGAGGAGGAAAGAGGCTACATGACAGGCTGGTGGCAATACTCGTGCCCTACAGCTGCTCCTGTTGGTTATCTAGCAGAGGGCTGACACGGATAGGGACACCTGGGGCACATTCTAGCTTCTGTATGAGCAGCCACATCACACAGCCTTTTCTTAAGCAGTCTTAAAACTGCTACTCTTTGTTCTACTGGAGGAAGTCTGTGTTTTGACTGTCGGAACTCTAGTTTTCATCCCAAGTTTTCTCACCTCCTTGCTGCCATGCCAGCATCATAGCCTGAATACTTCTCTGCACCTCCCACCCCTTCCCAATCCGCATTCTCAAGGTCACATTGCTAGGTCCAAACGAGCCTGAGGGCTTCCAAGGCTCTGTGCTGCTGATTTCCCATTCCCCTTGCCTGCTCCCTTCATGCTATCTGAAGGCCTAACAGCACCCTGCACAGCAGTAATACTTCACTCACAATTGCTGGCAAAGCTCTCATGATACAGTCTAGAATTGAAGCAGCACTGCCTTAGGGTCACAGATCTGAGAAAAAAGGTCTAATTTCCGATCCTAGGAAGGGTTTTTTTTTTTTTTCTTCCTTAAGTCCCTTACAAAACAAATTTAGAAAGCCTACAGATGCAGCAAAAAAAAAAAAAAAAAAAAAAAAAAAAAAAAAAAAAAAAAAAAAAATAAAACCAACAAAAAAAAAAAACACAACAGGATGCATTATATCTAAAACACAACAGCATGGCAGCTCTGAAATGGGACGTGATCTGCATCTCCCTGGTATCTAAGCAGGCTATTCCAAAAGTAACGAGAGCATTATAAGGCATCCCACTTATGTCAGATTAAAAGGAGAGACGTGGGCAGATTTAATTGCACTTAATTGTCATATTAATTTTTGGAAGGAAATGCTTGCTGCCAGAGTTCTAGAATCAGAAATGAGGTGGAACAACTTGAAATAAGTAAATGCCCCATAAGAGGCGCACGTCCTTCATGCCTTCTAGCACAGGACTGCTCACCCTGTGACTCTACAAAACCAAGAGGAACAGCAGCCTCACTGCTTATCTAAACAAGCCTAGAAATAATTCTGAAACATACTGTAATAAGACAACTAAAACACCTCCAAATGCATCACGTATACAGAGCTACAATTTCAATAAATGAACATTCAGCCATCGTGAAAGCCAGGAATCCACATGATCTGAAACAAAAGGAGTAACTCATCTAATTACATGAAATGCGTATCCAGCAGGAAACCACCAGAGCTGAGCTTGTTCCTCAGCCATTCAGTTCTCACTGTAAATGCATGAGACCTCAGTCTGTACTTCTAAAATAAAATCAAACGTTGGCAGACTTTGCTTTTTTCCTGATGCAAAGATCTACAGCACATGCATATCATCTTCTGACTGCAGTGCATTTCACATAACGTGCTTGGGGCCTCCTCTGCCCCACATCCTTCCCCCTTCCTTCAAAGTACAGTTGGTGTATAATATGTTTGCTTCATTCAGCACAATGGTTTCCGCTCTAGTCCTCTTTTGGACAAAGTATATTAGGAACTAACAAATCTTCAATTACAAATAACAATTAACACGTTAACAGATTTAAATTACTGCCCCTCCCGCAGATAGATCTACAGATCCAGAAAAGCATGGAAGCGTTTCCTCATCACTACCCAACCAAACACCAATACAAGGAGTACTCAGCTCCAGGCTGCCTGGGGGGTGGGGAGTCCCCAACCCTGGGGTGTCCCAGAGCCGTGTGGATGCAGCACTGAGGAACATGAGCAGCGGGCATGGTGGGCTGGGGTTGGACCTGGGGGTGTGAGGGGTCTTCCCAAACCATAATGGTTCTAAGATTTGAATAATACTGTAACACTTGACAACAACAATGAAAAGACAGGGTAGAATTATCCCACAAATTACAGAACATTTCCTTCCTCATAGGGAAAACAACAAAAGCACCTCACCACCACATCCACAAAACCGGTGTCTGTTAAACCACTGCTGCATGCTGAGGACCATCACACCCAATGCAAAACTGTTCAGTTCTGAGTAATACACGTGCTAGCATGACACAGTACCAGTGCGGGCCATGGCACCCAAACTGCGCGACACAAGGAGGTGAGAGATGTGAGCAGACCAGCCGTACTCACCTGCTCGCTGTAGAGAACCTGGACGTTCTTGACGATGCGGCAGTGCTTCTGGAGAATCGCTACAGCCTGAGCCAAAGGCATTCCTGCAAAAACAACAGCAGCATTTCTCCAGTTCGCAGGCTGGCTCACCCCACGTTTGGCAGAAAGGTTACAGATGAGGCAGAGTATCACATCATTGGCAAACAGTGCATTACGACACACAGGCACGCAATGGACCGAGGAGCCCCTACCTGACTCACGCTATCAGCACAAACCCATGCTCTAGAACAGAACGGCCATTGTTTACCCACCAGCTTGCAGCATATAAGACAAGTTGGGCTGGCCACCAGTCAGCGATACGACAGCCCGGAGCAAATACCCGCCAGTGTCAGTCAGCATTCTCATACGCACTCCACAAGTTCCTGGGTGCATTTTATGGTGTACCTTTCAGTCAGGCCCGATAAGCGACCAAGCAGTTGTACAAGACAGATAAAAATACAACATATTCGCAGCAGCTCTGCCACTACAGCTGTTGGAAGGCACTTTATCTTCTCAGCTTACAGTTTCTTCAGCACACAGCAGCTTCCAACAGCAAGGGATGGCAGATTTGATGAGGGAAAGCAAGTGAAGATAAAGATACTCCAGCTGCGGCTCCGGGGCCTTTCCAAGTGGCGTGCGATCATGCTCCTGGGTTTGGCATTTATAAGATAGAGCACAAGCTCATAATTTCAAGGTTTTATTCCTCAGTAATTGGTGCAAGTCAATTATGGTTTAGTTATCTGACATTCTGTTTACATTCCTCACTCTTTCCTCCTCTACTTCTTGTTCTTAAGCTTTAAGCAAATTGCCTCCATTAGAAAACTTCAGCAGAGGATCTACAGCTCCCTTCAGCTAACAGCTTGGGCACTGGAGCTCTCAGACAGCAGCTATGCCCTTCATAGTGTGCACACAGAGCTCCAGAGCACCTTCCAGACATTATCTATGGAAAAAAGGAAACACTCAACTATAAACCACACACTGCTCCCTCCATCAGCACCCGTTCTGCTTTAGATCTCCTAACACTGCAGGAATCTTAGCAACACAGTGCTAATCTATGTGCCTGCCACTGCTGTGCAGCGCAGCCCTCCACGGAGCTGTGGCAAAGTTTGATACATTAGACCTACAGTGATTCCACCTGTAAATACTGTATACAAATGTTTCTGGCAAAACTGTTTCCAAAAGCGTGAGCTAATAAGAAAAACAAAGCAGGTGGTTGTGCCTAGAAGTCCTACACCAGAAAACACTACAAATTCCAAGAGATAGTACTCTTTTTGAGTATCTATCAGCAACAGTAACAAAACAACACCAGCAGAGGAAGGCAGTTAAGCAGAACTGCTTCCTATCGCCAGGAAACAACAGCCACGGTGCAGCCTGAGCAGCTGAACTCTGCAGCCTGCTTGGAAAAGACAGTTAAGTGGTAAATAGTGTTACCAAAATGGAACAGCCTCCTGCTGTTGTTAATGAATCTAAGACCAAAGATGCTGCTGTGAAAGCTATGCATCCCTTAATCCAGCAGAAGCTGCGCTTCCAATTCAGCAAAGGTGATTTCAAAGCATGAAACTTATTTCCAAAGTCGGTGCTTCCCAGGTACTTGCAAAGCACACGCTCACAGCAAGTGCCAGCAGGGCTCCCTCAGAAATCACGTGGTGGAACACAAACCCAAGTTGGGTTTGTAGCCCAACATAACTGCTGCAACCATGGGTCATGCAAACAGCTCACATGACAGCATTACTCAGAGCTCTCTCACACTGCAAGCAAACAGACGTGGGCTGACTGCATTCTGTTTTGCTGAGAATCAAGCAGACTTTGCCATGCAACTGTGCATTAAAGCTACGAACAGGAAGCTAAATTCTCCAGGAGCAGCACTCAGAACCCAAACATAGAAAGGACTGCATCCTCCTTCTCCTCCACTAACAGAGCCAAGGGAAGAGAACTACTAGAGTAGCTCTCTTCACTCTTGTGGCACTGACACCCTGATCCTCAGTGGAGGCACTGATGGGAGCTCCAGCCCTGTGTCTTTCTGAAGAGGTAAGGAGAAGACAAATCGCAATGCGCCAAAGGGAAATGAAACATCACCAAAAAAGAAAGTATAAAAGGCAGCAGAAACATAAGTGTACCTTAGAAATTACACATCTAACACTAATAACACAGCTATAGGCGCTGCAAAATAAAGATTTAATTGTTCTCTTTCAAACAGCAGGAATGTAGCCTGAGATGTGCGGTGACCCAGGCACCACCAGACTCAGCCTTGGTGAAGTTTTTCAAGCTCTGGTCATGCAGTGAGTCAACAGTGAAGCCAGAAACAAAATCCAAGAACTCATGTGAGAAGTGCTCCCGGCATTTCCCCCCAGCCATCTCCAGTGCAGGCACAACGCTAGGAGCCAGGCAGCAGGTCAGGAGCACTGCCACAAGCGTGGCTGAGAGCAGATTTACATGGGTGCTGAATGGAACGGCAGGGCAGCACGGATCCCACTTCCAGCAGCACTTCCACTTGCATGGCCAGTCTCCACCAGCAGGGACGCAGCACACAGCACCGTGAGCACAGGGCAAAACGTCTGGGTGCCGAGTCAGCCTCCTGCTCCATACCACCAGGTCATGCTAATTATACATTAGACTCATCACGTGGTGGCTATATTTACTCCAAGAATTACAGCTGAGTTTCCTCCCTCTCACATCTATGCGTGTGTACACACAGACATAAACACAGTATGTAGTTTTAGCTATGAGACTGTGTTAACGGGCTTCTCTGGGGGGCTCTTGGGAAAACAAGAGTCCCATCTCCATCCTCCCCTCTCTCTTTTTTCACTTTTCTTTAAGTAAGGAGATCGGGGGGTAGTCAGTGCAGCTCACACCCCAGCAGTGCTCATTAACACCATTTCAGATCGCACCTGTTTTCAGGCAACGCCTGACCCAGAGGGCAGCGCTGCCCAGGGCAGAGGGTTGGAACCGGGTGGGCTTTGAGGTCCTCTCCAACCCAACCACGCTGCGGTCCCACGAATCCACACCCCCAAGGGATTACAGACCTCCAGGCACAGTGCGAGGGCACGGGGGCGGCAAGGAGACCGCCGGGATTTCCGAGCGGGACACTGGCCCCCAAAGCCCTCTAAGGCTCTCTCGAGCCACCAGGCTGCACCCAACCCCGACCTCGCCGCAGCCTCGGCGCCCGCTGCCTCCCACGAGCAGCCCCAGCTCCGGCCAGGAGCACAGGGCACACACACACAACGCGCAGGGAGGGTGGGGGGAGTAGGGGGGTGTCAAGCTGGAAAACGGGACGAGGAGGCGGCCCAGCGGGCGGGGGGCACGGCGGGGCACGGCACGGCGCATGGGGGGGGGAGGAGGCAAGAGATGGGGGGGGGGCCAGAAAGTGCCGGGGCCCGAGACAAAGGGAGGCAGCGGGCCAGGGGGGGCAGGGAGCAGGGAAACAAACAAAGCGATGCGGGGCCGGGACGGCGATGCGGGGCCGCGCAACGCGGTGGGAGGGGGAAGGAGAGCCGCGCGGGGCCCCGCGGGCGCGGACTTACCCAAGGTGAACTCCCATTGCTCGTTCCCCAGGGAGCGCTCGGGAACCACCTCCAGGTCCAGCATTGGCGCGGAGGCCCCGGCGGACGGGCAGCGGCGGCGCCGGACCCCTGCGGGGAAGCGATGAGGAGCAGGGGGGCCGGCCGAGGGCCGAGGGCCCGCGTCCCCCGCCCCGCGCGCCCCGCGCCGTCGCCATAGCGACCGGCCGACCGGCCGACCGGCCCCCCGCCCCCTCCCTCGCCGCCCCCCTCCGCGCGGGCGGGAGCCGCCGCAGGCCCGCCGCACCGGCAGAACCCCGGGCGCGAGGGGGGGACGCGGCCCCCTCCCCCCCCGCGCCGCGGGGCCGCCACTCACCTCACTTGCGGCTGCTGAAAAAGCGCTTTGCGGCCGTCGTCAGGCGAGGCCGCGCCGGGGGCGGGGCGGGAGAGGGGGCGGGGTCAGAGCGTGGCCGCGCCCCTCCGCCTCTCGGGCCGGGGCGGGGAGCGGCCGCGGTGCTGGAGGCCGCGGGTTCGAGACCCGCCGCTGAAAGGGACGGGGTTGCGGTGAATGGGAGGCGTGGGATCGCTGAGCATCTCGAGTTGGAGGCGGCCCGCACGGATCGCCGAGTTCAGCCCCCGTCTCCTCACAACGCAACTCGGACCCTACGTCTGAGAGCCGTGTCCCGATGCCGTGCCCGCCGCCCCCCGGGGCGGAGCCGTCCCCTCGCATCCCCGACCCTCCCCTGACGCCGCTCCGCGCCGTTGCCTCGGGCCGTGCGGGAGCCGCGCTGGGAAAGCCAGCCAACAACGAGGAAAAACCACTGAACCCCGATCTCGTTTTTCTGGTTGAAGCACAGGGGTGTGGAACAAAGGCTCGGGTGGAAATTAGTAAGTGGCACCAGGCAGCTGAGCCGGGCGAGCTGGGTGAGTCATCCAGGAAGAGAGCAGCAAACGAGGTCAGCGCTGCGGAGCGAGCAGACGCTGCGGGGTCCCGCAGCCCCCGGGCACGGCGCCGCGGGATCGCTGCGTCGGAGGGGACCTCGAAGGTCATTCAGTTCCAACGCCCCGCTGCGGGCCGGGCTGCCGCGCATCAGATCCGAGCGCCCAGGGCTTTGTTCTCCGCGGTCCGTGCCCACAGAGCTGCCCGCCGTGCCGAGCGAGGGCGTTCAGGAGAGAGGTGATGCTCTGGAGGCTGCAGGCAGCAGGGAGGGATCCACGTCCCTACTCAGCACTTCCTAACCCCGCTGTGCTCAGCCCTAGGGGCGCACGTGGCTGGCGTCACCACGTGTGGCAATAACGGGGCTCTCCCAGGGGCTGCGATGCCCCCAGGCCCCGCCACAGGCACACATCGGGGCATTCCTCGAGAAACCGTCATGATTTAATCTCCTCACCGTGTCCGTATCATAGAACCACAGAATCATTATGTTTGGGAAAGACTGCTCACATCCCCAGGTCCAACCCAGCCCACCCCCACCGTGCCCACTGCCCACATCCCTCAGTGCCACATCCCCACGGCTCTGGGACAACCCCAGGGGCGGTGATTCCCCCCATCCCTGGGCAGCTGTGCTGCTGCATCACTGCTCTTGGGGAGAACAAATTGTTCTTAATATCCCACCTGAACCTCCCTTGGTGCAAGGTGATCATCGTCACCTTGCCATCACCTCTGATCCTGGGATAAAGGAAGGGAGCATTAAAAAAACCTGGCAGCAGTGACAGGAACCCACAGCCAGAGCAGGAACCCTGGGGTTCCAGAACCTGGCACAGGCTGTGCCCTCGTTGCTGCCATTCCCAGTCCCTGGCTTCCTTGCTGCTGGACCGAAGTCACAGCCCAACCACAGGGAAGGGGAAAAAAATAATGCAAAAGCCACCAGGAGCGACCAGAAGCACAGCAGGATGAGCAGCGCTGATGGTGAATGCGGGCTGCCCTCTCCCGATGAGATTTAACAATGCACATTGCTTTCACAGCTAGAAACATTTCAAAGCTAACCCTGCCTGCGTGCCTGGCTTCCCTGTGCTGGGAAGTGGGTGGGGAGGTCTTCCCTCACCCAAGTGCACAGGATCTCAGTGGTACCAGCATCACTTCCCAACCCTGAGAGTTGGGCTTTTCCCTCCTTACCCATGTGTGCCATTCACAGACCTCAGCCCATCTGATTGCACTTAAAGCCATGATGCATGCAGGGCAAAATCTAAATGGGCTTCATTGGGAACAGATTCACCCATTGCTCTTTTGTTCCAGAGGCTGCTCAGCCTGGGAGCAGCGCACGCTGTGATGCAGCATGATGCTGCCCTGGGCTCCCACATTTTGGGGTGATGGTTTTGTTCTTCCCAAGTTACTCAGCGCAATGCCACACTCAAGTAGGACAGTGCAAGCAAAATGATGCTCAGTTCTTCCTTTTATCAATAGCTTTAAACGGGGGTCCATGCCCACCTCAGAGGAGCAAGGTGCTCCTTCCAGCGCAGGGTGGAGCAAGGCCCTGCAGAACCACAGACCAACTGCCAGGCTGATAGCTTTGCCAAGCTCTTCCTGAAACGGGGTTATCTTCAGCACTGGAGGCCAAACCTTGGGCAGCAGGAGGCAGCAGCAGTGTGCAGTGTGGGCAGGTGGATGGACTCAGGTGGCAGAATGCTGCGGGGTTCAAAGCAGCAGTGAAAGATGCGCTGCTGCAGGGTAGTGAAAGGATGCACGCATTCCATGAGCCCACTGAGACCACATCCTGACAGCCCCTTGTTCTGCAGAGCAGAACTGAAAGCAGAACCAAAAAGAGGATCCGTCCTTGGTGTGGGAGCACCTACCCCAGCAAGGAGGGAACAAGGGGGCTCCTCAGCAGCACCAGGTGGGGAGCAGGGGCTGCTCAGTGACCTGATGAGGAGCAAGTGGCCCAGAACTGCAGCTCCCAGCTGGTCCCATATAAGACTGAGCTCTTTCCAAGCTTGCAGCCACCAGACCTTCTCCCAGTCAGTCCTGTCTCATGTAGGCATGCTCTAACCCTAAAACCACAAACCTGCCCAAGCCAGAGCAGGAGGAGCAGCAGCACCTCCCAGCCACCGTGGTGCATCCTTCTGAATCCATCAACCCCCCAGCTGAGACAGACCAAGACCGCTGTTTGAGGGAACAGCTTCTGTATCAGCATAGGCAAGGGCCAGGAGAGGCACTGCAAACACTGTGGAAGAAAGCACAATGAATAAATAGAAGGGTTGAGATGGAAGGGACCTACAAATGTCCCCAAGTCAGAGGTCCAAGTGCAAATCCTCAGGAAAGAAACCTGCAGACATCCATTCTGCAGCATAGGAAGTTCCACACAAATCTGTGCAAGAACTTCTTTAGTGAGGTGAAGGAGCACTGAAACAGGCTGCCCAGGGAGGTGGTGGAGTCTCCTTCTCTGGAGATGTTCCAGATCCGCTTGGGCACCGACTTGTGCGACCTGGTGTAGGGAACTGCTTTGGCAGGGGGTTGGACTCGATGATCTCTGAGGGTCCCTTCCAACCCCTACGATTCTGTAATTCTGTGATTCTGTAATTCTGTAATCCACCAAGGATGACCACTCCTGCCCAACTGCCATGAAACAGCAGCCCGCAGTGCTAAAACTGGGCCAAACATCAGCCAGGTTTTGTACATCCGAGCGAGAAAGATATCCAGTGAGGAAACCCAGCAAGAAGTCTTGGCAATGAGCAAGGCTGAACTAGGCAAACTTTGAGCACATTGTGCAGCAAGCAGGAGGAGCTCAATGGCAGAGCTGTGGGATGCAGACTGAGCTCCCAGGCATAGGCTGACAGCAGGAGATAGCTCTCCATAGGAGGACACAGCCCAGAACCGTGACTGTAAGCAAAGATTCACCGCAAGGACTGGGGAGGCTTTGCTGCCCACTGCCCAGCCTCTCTCCCTCCACCAAACACTGAATTCTCCACTGTCAATCCTCGCTGTCAACTCCGCACACCTCCACGAGGAGGAGATGTTTGTGTGGAAAGATCCGGCAAGCATTTATCCACAGCTACAAGCAAGACCTCAATGTAGGTGCGTTTTTGGTGAAAAGCAGATTGGTGCCTGCAAACTTACGGCAAACTTCCTTCCTTTACAGAAAAGCAGTCTGGGACACACAAGGTCACCATCAGGAGCCCTGTGGGCACCACTGAGGAGCCAGCAGAATCCGACCAGCTTTGGCCAACGGAAGCACAGCCATCCCAGTTCTCAGCACCCCTGCAGACGTTTGGGTTTTGCACAGCTGCCCGCTGTGCGTCACAGCAATGGCTGGGTTTGTGCTCGGCTGTCCTGTGTTTTTTCCCCCACTCCTCAGCTTGAAGAAATGAGCCCGAGGCAATTTTGACATTTCGTTTATCTCAATCTGCAATCAAGAACGATGTTTAATAAAGTTCCTGAGCCTTGAGCCTGAGCAGCTGCGAGCTGTACAGCAGCCAATGAATATGCATGCTCTGGGATTTGCATTTTGTTGCAGCGTGGACAGCACAGGAGGCAAATGAGTTACAAAAAGCATCACCCATGCAAATGCACCTCTCTGCTGTAACTTCTCACTGTAATTCTCATCCTCGAAGCCACTTTCATAACTCACTTATTTGCATTGGAAATGTCCTTACAAAATAGCGTACTTTAAATAAATCAGCCCTGCTTCAGTGCAGACAGATAGATTCCTGCAATACCCCTGCAAAAAAGCAGTGTCCTGAATTAAAGGCAGCCTGAACATGGCAGTCCTGTCAAGATCCCAGCAGGCCATGGCATTTTAGGCCTCTCCAAAACCAACCTTCCTTCTTGTAACCTCCTCCCCACTGTGTGGATATGGCTCTTGTGAGACACCAGAGTACAGTGGAACAAAAAAGCATTTCCATTTCCATCACTGCCTGCTACAGAAGTGGGACCGAGAGCGCAGATCAGGACAGCTGCCACCAAAGGGAGCCTGGGAAACACACGCAGGCTTTGAAAACCTAACTAATGTGGGAGAACGGACCACATCGCAGCTTCTCTCAGGGTAAGGGGCTGCATAACTGCAAGAGGTTGGAAAGAAAGCCAGGAGAGACCACATGACAGGCAGGAGCAATTTGGGAGCTTCAGGAACACGGAGTGGCATTGCTTGGTGTCTGGTTTTGTTTTCAGGGCTCACTCCTTCCCAGCTGCAGAAGCGTTCCGGAGGGCTCACAGACAGCAGGCGCTGCATCGGGCAATGCCCGCTCCATTTGCAGGCAGGTTTTAAAAAGCATGAAACAAGGTTACACCTCGTTCTTTTGCACGGAAACACTTTCAGAGTCTGAAGTTACTAAAACAACCTGCACGATTCTGGGACGTGATCAGCACCATCCCGTTGGCTGCTTTAAGGTTTACCTCCTAAAATCCTGCAGCTGTGTAGGAGGGTTTCAGATGTGGCAGCTATCACTCATACCTGCCCTGCTGTGCTGTAACTGTGGTTCCTCACCTCCAACATGTAAACCACCTTTATTTTGGTCTCCTCGTCCACAGCAGTGTGACCTTTAATCACAAAGCAGTTTGAGTAGGAAGGGACCCTAAAGGCCGTCTGTTCCCAGCCCTGCACTGAGCAGGGACACCCACAGCTCCATCAGCGCTCACAGCCCCATTCCCTGACCTTGGCTGTGTGCAGGGATGGGGCAGCACCAGCTCTGTGTGCAGGGATGGGGCAGCACCAGCTCTGTGTGCAGCTTGTGCCTCACCGCCCTGAGCGCTAACTTCTTCCTTAGCTCCCCTCTTCAGTGGGAGCCCACTTCCCCCACCCTGTCCCAGCAGACCCCATTGAAGAGCCCACTGCCCCCATCGCGGTGTGCCCCCACTGGAGCCTCCCACTGTCAGAAAGGACCTCACAACAACTTGTTTCACTACACAGAAGTTTATTATGAAAGTTAAACGTACAACACAAAAGGTAGCAAAAGCGATCCTGTAGCTTAAGGCAACTCTTGCAGGAGATGAATCCGACAAAGATGATGCAACTTCAGTTTAAATAGAAATCATGAAAAAATATCAAATTGCATCAATAACTTAAAATGCACTTTAAAAAGTCTTCGCTAGCCAGCAGAGGGAAGGGCTGTGATCTTAATGCCAGCATTAAGATATCGGAAGCAGCAGAATGCTAAATGACGACAGGGAAGGTTGGGTATTTACACCGAGATGGCAACGTTAATAGCTGATAGCATCATTTCCTGTGTACTTGTGGCTTAAAACCACCATCCGAAACGTTAGGAAACCCTTTTAAAATAGACCTGCAGGCTATTCCATCAAAAACACACAGATGGCAGAGGAGGCCCAGGGCTGGGGCACGCAGTGCAGAAACACCTCGGAAACGTTTCTCTGGGGGAGGAAGAGCAAAAGGGACAGGAGGGCACAGCGCATCTCCGGGGCACGTCCCACTGCGGGTGAGATATCAGAACATTTCTATTGGATGGCATTCTCAGCGTACAGTTATTGACATGAAGGGGATGTTAAATAATCGCCTGGTTAACACACAAAGGCTCTCCTCCATGTTGAACATTTCTGCGAGACCCCTTTTGCACCCACTGCATCACTGCCAATGAGGAACGTAATTGCCTTAGTTATAGAATTTAATGAAGATTTCACTGCTCTTATTGCACAGCGCTTCTGCCCTCAAAATCATTAACAACACAGTGAGATCAGATCACGTACCTTAACGCTGCCAAACGACACCACATTTCCAATTGATTTTCTTCAGATATCAGATGGATACAAAGAAAAACGTGGCACAGAACCCTTCCCCACCGCCACCACCCGAAGAAAGGAAGGAAATCCACGCAGATTAACTCTCCCCCAGCCGTACCCAGCCAGCAAACACAGCACTCACTGCGGTGTGGCCCCTGTTTGCGTACAACTCAATGGCAGCGTCCCATGCACGGTCTGAGGTTTCATCTCAGCTCCTCACCATCCAGCACAACTTTACAAAAAGCATAAGATACAAAATATACTCAAAGCAGCCATCTTAACACCGTTCCATACACATCACCCACCGCCTCCATTCCCAGTCTGTGTGCTGCTGGGTCAAGCCGTAGAGTTGCAGTATCCCTTCGTAAGCGCTCTTTAAAAAAATCCCTGAATAAACTAGAAGCCAGCCTGCGACTTCCCACGAGTTTCAGTAAGGTACTTACATACAGCGGTACCAGAACCACCCAAACTCACTGAACGCTGAATAAAACGCAAGACAGATTTTGGGGCAGAATGCACTCGTGCATGACAACACAGATTAAAGATCTGATCGTTTAAAAAGTGGAACTGATGAACGTTCAGCGGCTAGAAGAATACTGCAACTGTAAGGCTGACGAGCCAGCAGTCTGAAACCCGATCCCAACAGCACTGATTCACTGGGTTCAGCTTGGAAGTAACGCCAAATAATGTCAGCAGTTTTCAGGTCTTGCAAATGTAGAAAAAAAGAAATCGGAAAGAAAGATAAGAACGCATATCTAAAATAAAGCAGGAGCACGAGAAAGACAATCAAAACTCCAAAAGCCCATATTAAAAAATTAAGCTTGGAATGCATTGGCTTCCAGCAGTTTACAAAAAAAAAAAAAAAAAACAAAAAAAAACAACAACAACAACAAAAAAAAAACAGAAACAAAAAAAAAAGTTTTTAATCTGTAATATCTTGACCTATTTTTAAGTGACAATTTTTATTACAGTTGAGAAAAAACAAGTTTTTATAGCTGCATAAGTTTCCATTTCACTAAAATAGTGCCAACAAAAATAAGTTTGCATAGAAAAACAAAATTTCAAATTGCCACTGGCTACATGCTTAACATGGGAAACGCAGGTATCATAACATAAACATAGTGCAAACCATGGCAGTTCACGGTGGTTCTGACTGCCGCAGGTCAGGAAACAGACCATAATATACCCAGTTATCACAGTTTCTGGTCTTTATTCAATCCTTTGCCAAGTAGAAGCAATGTATGTTGCAGACCCATGGCACTGCTGATGCTGATTAACGTAGTTTGAGATCATCGCCACTTCCTAGGTTGGATCCAGGACTAGGGTCTTGTTGTCTTCTTGCCTGCATTAATAAACACATGTTTAGGATTAACAAAATGACTCAAATCATCAGTTCGTTTCATAAGCACATTAAGCACACGTCAAAAAAACAAACAGTTTGAAGCCAGAAACACAGTAATTTCAGAGCAGCAAGGCAGGGCTTCCACCCCTCCATCCAGAGCGAGTTCCTTCACTATGAGGTTCCCTTCCTCTGTTAACCTCTCCTGCACACGGTCTCAGGGTCAAGATTACAATACCAACATGGCAGAGTACGGCAGATGCTTCACGGCATTCCCATAGAGATCTCCCCCCAAGCGTGTGCGTGTGGCAAACATCTTGTTTAGCTTGTTATGGAACAGAGAGACATACACCAACAAAACAGCACAGCTGAACCTGCAGACTGACAAACACGCTCATATTTTTGTCAGAACACACTCACTGGAGTAATACTATTCAGTGCACCAGTAAAGTTAGCAATAATACAAAACTTAAGAAAACTTTGGTTCTGATGGTTGAGTCCCTGTATTAAAAAAAAGTAACATCAACTCTCCTTTAAACAAGGAGAGCTTTTGACACAATTTGAATGGGTCAGTATTGATCAGTGCTTGTACAAAACACTTAACTGCTTTCTGCACCTGGCAATCAAATATTCACACAGCTAGCTTCCCCACTTCTCCCAGCACAGCAATCCCACAGACATGTGCTGCGGATCACAAGTGTGCTGTGTTTCCTCTAAGGCAAGGAGGACCTCACCTCCATCCACCAGGAAGGTTTGTGGCAGGGCACAGCAGACAAGGAGCCCCAGCTGCCCTACTGTGGGTGAGAGCTTTCTGTGGGCGAGAGCTTTCTGCGGGCAGCTGTGCATCACTTCTCCTTGCAACTGAACACTATGCCCCTCCTCTTTCAGAGGCATAACCCCAGGATTTTGAGTTTTCTCCTCTGTGCACAAGCAGGCCGCCTTCAAGCAGCAAACAGAAATGCAAGTAAATGCTTACAAAGCCATTCATATAGTTCAATTTTCAGGCGGTGCTTTTGGTCTAGGAGAAGTGTTCTATCACTCTCTCAATCCTAGCCATACTTTACAGTGCTTTAGTACCAACACCTGGGTGTTGTGCTCACGGGGTGCACAGCTGGCACGCTGCCCTGCAGCAATCACCACAACAGGGCTGTGCTCTCAGCTGCTGGCGCTCACTGCTGCAAGGAGCCCCACGAGCTGCACCGGCCGCAGCGAGCTGCCACACACAGGCCTTCAGAACTGCATTCTCCAATGAGAAACAATAAAAAACAAAGCCCCAAACAAATAGTACTATGACAAAGGAGTGACGCCTCTCTCCTTCAGAAAGCCTTCTGTGTGTTGGTGAAAGGCAAGCACGGCCCAAACGCGGGCAGCAGCACCGCGGCCGCTCGCCGTCTGAGCATCCCTGCGTTCCCACGGTGCCACAGAACAATGCGAGCAGTTCAGCCAGCCTGTGACTAACGGTGACACGACGTTGCTCTGCGGTGCTCCCGACCCTTCTGAGTCACACTTACTGACACAGAGGAAGCCTTCCCGCCAGCAGCGGTTACCCCAGCTCACAGCACGCTGCTTGTTCCTCCCATGCTCGGCTGCCAGCCCCAAGCCCTTCAGCCGCTGCCAACACCACGCTCTCTAATGCGGGCGGCTCTTTCCCTGCTCGCTTCTCCCTCCCTCCTTCCCTCCCTCCCTCATCTAGCTGACTTTGTGCTTCCAGCACGACTGGCTAGCTTCAGCTGTAAGGAGGAGGAGAAGCCCAGCTTCCTTCCCCCACTGAAGTACTGGAGCTACGTTTTCCTGTTCTGTGCAATAATCCCATCCTGACACACACGAAGTTCACTGAATAAACCCTGTACTCATCAGCACGTTTCCAGAGGAGATATTCCCTTCTGACCTTCTTGGTGGTCACACTGCCATTACCGCTTTGGAAACACTATTTTGAATACCACAGATGGCACCTATTGCACTTACATATCCAGTACAGAAATTGGACTGATGCAGGATTTTTGTTACTCAGGGGTCAGATCATCCTCTCGCTCTGTTCTGTTGATGCTTCCCTCAGCCACTATGACCAGCGGTGCGGTGCTCACACATGCAGAACAGCCCTAAAAACAGCAGCCAGCATCACTGCACAAACCCACAGACCTCTCAGTAATGTGAATGATCACACTGAAACAAGTGGGTGTCATCACATACAGTGCAGGAGATTCTAAATCCTGATGGCATACTCCTTCCAGCCCCTGAAGGACATCTGCAAATTGCTTTCTTTGTAGAGATGCAGAACTATGGGAAACTGTACTTAATTGAGATTTTCACATTTGTAAACCCGAATCATTCAGTTTTGCATTCAGCATAACCACAGAGAAGTTAATGATGAAGAACCCCACACTTCATTTCTTTTTCTTCAAGAGAAAACTCAACTGTGATGTAAAGACTCTCCTGAACACAGCACGGCCATTCTGTGTGTCTGAACAGACACTTCTGCACTGAGAGCTGTACTAAAATTAACAAAGGAGCAACAGTTCCACTTCGCATATCCTTCTCCCATCGACCAGACTGTACCAAGATTTCTTCTGCTCCTGACTGCTCCCCACGTCTTTAAGAAGAAACAAAGGCACGTGCTCCTTGATGAAGAGCTGCCAAAATCCCAGTGGTACCCATCTAGTTAGTCACTGGTTTTGTTTTGTACTCACACACTTCTCACCCTTACTGGAGAAAAAGCCAAGTTCACTACTGCTATTCTCCTGCTTTAAAAGTAACAGAGCTGCTTTTTCAGAAAAGAAACCATACGCACAGTAATTGTATTGTCAAATTTCAGCAAAGACTCCAAGGTAAGGGCATATGGTTGCATTTACGCTCTGCCTAAAGCGGCCTTTTCTTTCAGGACATATGAAAGAATTCACGTGATTCATGAGATCACTGCTACTTGTAGGGTTTGCAGAAGCCACTACTGAATGGCTGCCAGATCTGCCCTTTTAGTGATGGGCAGGAGGCATGACAAATCACCCCCAAACGTACCGAGAGCAGGCACTGCAGTATTTCATAGGAAGCATGCGTGGATAAAGGTGCAGCTCTGCATTTCAGTAAGGGGGTTTACTGCCCCGTGCTGGAATGACAGCTGTCTCTCACTCAGGAGCCCTTGTTTATTCATGTGGCACTACAGTGCAGGAGTGCACACATGGAACACGCCACTCACTGCTGCACCAAGGTGCACAGGCACGGTTTGCAGCCACCACAGCAGCACTCAATGGGCTAAGAGCACCACATGCATATGCAGCTGAAATTTAAAACCACTGCTGAAGAACAGGAGAAATCCCCCTGCACTGCGTGCAGACAGCGAGGACGCAGCAGAGCATCAGGAACTGGGTGATATTTCTGGCCACTGACAAAGAGTAAAAAAAACAGCTTTCACAAGAATGCCACAAGTGTTCTGAACGCTCGTTTGTGGCAGGAACATGACCACCAGTGTGGCAGTCATCTGGTGGTTCTGCTCAGTTTGTCACAGGAAGACGGAGGTTCCTTCTAGAGATGTGAGAATGGCGTTGCCAGAACTCTCAGCACAGCTAATCAATCCACTGAATTGCAGCTTCTGCTGTAACTTCTGAAACACACACCTCGTGAAGCCATGCAGAAGCATCTCTATGAAGAATGAGCTCAGGTTCCCGAAGATTAAGGAGACCTGCTTCAATTAAAAGAGATGCATCTGTCTTTGCCATTGGGAAGCAGAGTACCCTGCCATGAGTCATGCACAGTGAGTCATGAGAAAACAACAGTGATCCATCTTATCTCACTGTATTTCATTTTTCAGTTAAACGCTGATTGAAGTTGGAAGGAAGACTACCTTGAATGTTACTCAGCTGTTGCTTTGTGAAACAGTCAGTCGTAAATAGTACGTGGATCCCATCGCAGTTGTGACTCTCCTGTGACAGAATGGCAGCTTCCTTCCAAATATCACAAAACTGAATGGTTAATGTGATGGACACACAGGGAGTTTCAATATCCTAAAATATTCAGCTTTCAGCACATGAAACCATGCAAATCTTCTGTAACACTTCTGCAGTACGGAAGGAATTACAACTGGCCACAAGCCATTTCAAATGGAGGAGACAGCATGATGACCAACCAAAAGAATTGCAGGAATGAATTCACAAAAAACACCAACCAAATAACAAACAAACAAAAAAAAATATTGCAAAACCTCCTGTACGTTTCTAGTCTAGATCTATTTACACTGAACTCATGGGCTGATGAAACAGAGGAATAACAGACAAGGTAAACGCTACTGACAATCATTTTGATTTGATGATAAACAAAGGCCATCCATGGCAAGGAGCATCCACAGCAATGCTCTCTTCAACTGTGCATGTCCAAAATCTTCCCAAACCCAAGTATAAGGTGATCAGAACAGGCTGAAAGTCATTCTGAGAATGCAATGCGGTAGTATTATTTTTTCTTCCCAGTAAATGAGACAGCTTGAAGTCATCATCTTAGAATGGTGACTCTTTTGGACAGCAATTGTGCTTCACTGCTTCATTGGGATACTTGGGTAAAACAGATGTAGGCATCGTGGCAGTTCAGGAGGAAGACAAGCAGCTCCTCCAGATGTCAGCACACTTAAGACACCAGCATCCCCCTCCAAGCATCCTACCCTGCCCCACGCTATGGTGGTCACATTTTCAACACTGTCAGTAAAACTCTTCAAGCTGTCTTTGAGTGTCTGTAATCATACTCTATTCATGAAAACAATGGAAGAATGCAACTAAGTACTCCTGCCATTCCTATTTGCACCAACTCTCCTTAGTTTCCAGATGTAACACCCTTTACCACTCTGCTGGCCTCAAACCACACAGCAAACACTGTGCAGCTCCTCGTACACGACTTGTCAAAAGTGTGTGTTGGGTGGGGGTCACTTTCAAAAGCGACCTGTACACTGAGATTCTTCTCTCCATTGGGCATCCCAACTCTGAAGCTTCTCAGACATACCTCTGGGACATACTTGAGACCACCAC